AACGTCGGTCCAGCGTCTAAAGGTACTGCCTGAACAGGGTTGAAACAGCCTGACAGCCACGGACATAGTAGACGCTAGTAGACGTAGGCGTAGTAAAATGTCAAAGTATATTGCACAACATGACACCTCGGACATAGGTGCATAGTACTAAAATATATAGTAGAAGCGAGCTCTGACTCGTATTTTCGTCATAGATTTTTTGAGTCTAGCCCACCGACCTCCGTCTCCATTCATGCTTGTGTCAGTGCATAGTCATACCGATCCACAATCTCTAATTTTCACACAAATTCCGCGTATGGGCGCAAGGCTTGCCACTACTAACTAGTACCAATGACGCGCCCATGGATAAGTCCGCTCCGTCATCCAAATAACCTCATTATATTCCACAACTCTCTCTTCCCGAAATAAATTCAAATCAAAACAACTTTCTTCTACAAGTTTTTAAATTTTATCTATCCGCACTAGTTCCCGTGACACCCGGTTTCCCCTCCGCCGCTTCCAAGTCTTCGCGCTCACCTTTAACGCTATTCTGAGATTGGCGTGATTCATCCGCCTCGGCTTGTGGACCTTGTGAACCCGGAGATGCGCCTACCGGTCCTACTCCACGAAGGAAAATAATGGCGAGCGCCGTACAAAACATGGCAAAACCAAAAGCTGTCCATTGAGCGGCTTGGTAGGCTTGTAAAGGGGCTGGAGATTCAGTACTCGATCCCGTATTAGAATCTCGATGTTTCTGAGTGACGGAACTATGAACGATCGTAGAGATTGCTAGTCCAAACGCTGTCCCAAGCTATGTAAGAGACATTGAGAATCAAAAATTAGTAAAATTTCGAAAATCGTTCATGAAGCTCAGAAATGAAAAGGAATAAACAAGAAATGAAAATAGATACTTGGATAAAGTTCTTTGTAACTCACCTGAGTCAAAGTCTGGAACAACCCTCCAGCCAAACTCTGCTCATCCGGTTCTGATATTTTCGCTATGAACAACGTGCCCGCTGCAAAGACGAAATCCCCTCCAAAGACAGCCACAATGGCCGAGGGGAAACCGAATGCCCAATAGGGCGCTGATGGGTCGATCAAGGCGAAGAGGAGGGCTCCAATGGAGGTGAAGAGAGTGCCTAAGGCTGTAGAAGTAATTTTATAGTGAGTTTGAGGGAAGGTAAGGTTACTAGTACGAAGTGAAAGATTCTTGACAAGACTCACCGATTAAAACGACGAGATCCAATCGACCGATGACTAAAACGACAAACACGTTACATATGACGCCTGCTACAGTCATTGGTAACATTCGAACGGCGGTAAGGACAGGTGATAGACCGACGAAATCTTCGTAGTATATCTGGTTGTTTTTTTTTTTGAGATTTGGTTGACGAATTAGGAGTAGATGATAATAGTAGTAACTTACTTGAGCCCAAAAGAACCAAGACAAGAACCCGGCCCATTCCATGAAAGCTATACTCTGCATCACAGCAAACTTGCCTTTCGATCTTGACCATAAGCTGAGTTTCATCAATGGTGCTTGAGCACCATAGTGTTTCTCGAGCCAATGTTGCCAGAGCAGGAAGACGAGCAGGAAGAACACGCCGATAATGAGGAGGGAGATGATGTCTGTCGAAGTAAGAATTCGAAGAAGTGAAAAGGATAAGAATACTTCAGACCATCGAATATGGAAATTTAAAACCGAGACTCACAATCTGTCCTCCATCCTCTCGGAGCCACTGATCCTTGACCAAGTGTGAAAATGATCAATCCAAGAGCAGTGGTGATCAAAAAGGCGCCTATCCAATCAACTCCAATCCGTTTCGAAACGCTTTCACCTGTCGTCTTATTCGAATCGTTTTGAATCTGAACCTTAGTAACTCGACTATCAGGTTCAATAGTAAGGTACCCTCCAATAACGCATAAAAAGGATAACCCTGCGAATAGGAAAAAAGGATCTCTCCAAGTATATCTAGTGAATAGTTAGGAACACGTAGAAGTCATCATCGTGATAATTATAATGACGATGATGATAGGGAGAAGTTGATGAGTGAATGTGAAATTCATTATCAAAAAAATTAAAATGAAGAACTCACCTGGTTTTTTCAGTTAAAAGCGCACCGATTTGTGTACCGATAGCGCCTCCTAGAGGAGCACCAGCTGAGAAAGTGGCGAATGCGGCTGAACGGGCACGGCCGTGGGGAAAGGATTGTGCAAGGATTCCTAACTTCGAATGTTGTGATTTTACAAAGTCAGCATAGATTCCGACGAAGACGATGATTAAAAGAAGATATAAACAGAGAAATAGGACTTGGAACGTACACAAGCAGGTAAAAACGCTGCTGGTCCAAGACCTTGTAACCCTCTCAAAACGTATAGCGTCACCGCGTTCTGAGCGAACCCACATCCGATGGACATAGCTCCGAGGAAGAACGTCCCTAATAAAAATGCTTTTTTCCTTCCGTATAAATCGGCTAGACGACCGAAGAAGATGAGGAAACAGCCCTAAGAGAATTCGAACATCAGTAAACTGGGCTCGAGTATGTGGAATTAACTCGGAGAGAATTGGAAGTGGATAAGTAAGTAGAAAATAGGCCAAGTGCTTACTGAGGATAATGAAAAGGCAGAAACGGTCCATTGGAGTGAATCTTCGGCAACATTAAGTTCTTGTCCGATGATAGGGAGGAAGACGGATACGGCGGCGGAGGAGGCGAGCTAGAATAAGTATACAAGACACGTAGAGCAAGAAAAGATTAGTCTTTTATAGCTAAAAGAAAGGTTACACTGCGACTTACGTTCGTGATCATCGCCAGTGTACAAGTCGTTACCAAAGCCATAGATCGTAAAGGGGTCATTGTACGAGGACGAGGAGATTGAGCACTTTGAGCATCGACGTCGAGTGTATCTGGGCTAGTCATAGCAGTTGATTTGCCTTTTTCGATGCTAGATTGCGCTGTCATCTCTACACCAGTCATAACGGAAACGGGGGACGGGGAGTTGGGGAGGGAGCAGGAAACAAAAAAGCTTCGAAGAAAGGACACTGACTTAGCTCGGAGTCCACTTTGGTTCCCGATCGGACTATGTCCGAGTCGAGAAAAAGGCTCAAAAGTCCCAGGCTTGGGTTGAGGAAACACGTTTTTTTGATTGCAAGCCAGTTTGAACCACTCTTTGAAACCGGTTTGCTTGGAAAAAATAGAGTTTTCATTACTACTTAATCAATGACAGATTGACGCTTGTGTTGTTCGAAGCGAGGCACAGAACTACAGGCTTGATGTGATATTCGTGATCGAGGGGATATACAGTGCGTACTTCGAGATATTTTTGGGATGAGACAATGTCTCATGTACATCATGGGGTGCATATGATAGTGTGAGAGAGAGGTGCGGGTGATAGGCTGACTTGATAGGATCACTTCTATCTACATGATTTTCTCAGACGAAGTTTCAACTGAGATGAGATTGTTGTTGGAACTAATTATTCTGTACATGGTGGAACAACTTTGAACTCGGATGGTAATGCTAACAACATACGCCTCGGAAAAATGGAACTTTTGACTATCATCATTACTCACACTGATTGATATCCCATTCAATTACTTTACTAAGGTGATCCAGAAATGCCGCCTTTTTCAGTCGTCACACCCATCTTTCTTCTCGACCACCACCATCATAAACTTTGGGGACTCGAGAAAAAGCCAAACAAAACAACAACCGAACAAATCATGAAGGTCGCATTAGCAGGAGCCTCGGCAGGAGTTGGTTGGCACATCGCCGATCGCATCCTCTCTCGTGGTCGACATGAACTCACCATCCTCTCTCGACAATCCATGCCCGAGTTCTCCTCTCGAGGTGCCCACGTCAAAACCATCTCTTACGAATCCATCGACTCTTTGGTCTCTGCGCTCTCCGGTATCCACACCGTGATCAGTGCGATCGGTGATCACTCTCGTTCCTCTCAAGCTCAACTCACACTTGTCGAAGCTGCTATCAAAGCCGGTGTGACTCGGTTCATACCTAGTGGATGGTCTGGCACAGACGGTGGACCCGATGACATCGTAGAGCTTTATAGGTTCAAACAACCCACTCTAGAAGCGTTAAAAAAGAGTTCTTTAGAATGGAGTCATCCAGAGATGGGCGTGATCATGAACTATTTCGCGACGCCGAAACCGGGAGGAACGAGTCATTTGAAGCCTCTCAAGTTTTGGATCGACGTAGAGAATTGTACGGCTGCGATTCCTGGCGATGGGAATTTGAAAGTGGCATATACGAGGGTGGAAGATGTGGGCACGTTTGTGGATAAAGCGTTGGATTATGAAGGGAAGTGGCCGGAGACGTTGAAGATCGTTGGAGCGCTTGCTTCGCATAATGAGCTTATCAAAATGGCAGAGAAGGTTAGAGGTGAGTTTTCTTTTAGAATTACTTTGTGTTCGTGTTATAGGGGTAAAACTAACATACAAAAATTTCCTTAGGAAAACCTTTCACCGTCACTTACTTATCTGCAGAAGAGATCCGCGCCAAATTGATACCCAACCCACCGGTGATATACGTGAACATGGCAAATCAACTCAGCCTTGCGCTTCTAGATGGCCGTTTCTCATTCGAACCGAACTTCAACGAACACGTCAAGATGAATTTCACCCAACCAGAACAGTTCCTGCAAGAGTGGTGGGGACAAGATTGATTTAGCGAGCACCGTTGAGTAAAGTATAGTTACGTAACTCCAAACAGATTTTTGATCGAGTTTAGAAGTGTAGCATTATTGTTATAAAAGAAAATGTAAAAATGTAACCTTTTTGCGAATGTAGTTAGTCATGGACAGACGGTACTTGCTGATGCTAAGCTCCTAAGTAGGTGAGCTCTACTAGACTCCAAGGTAGAGGGCAGGCAAAGGTGACTGCCATAAGACTTGGGTCGGCAAACGACTTTGCAGTCCAAATCCCCGCCATCAGTCTATGGGAAATGGAAAAAGTCGTACACCACCTGGCATATCGAGAATGGCGAGTCTTTACAAGTGTAAGTAACTCCATCGTGGTGTAGTGGCTAACATTGCTGTCTTTCATGATGCGATAACGTATACTGAGCACAGCAGCCCGGGGTTCGATTCCCCGCGATGGAACTGCTGTATTTTGTGCACTTTCTTTTGTTTCCTTATTACCAAAGTCTAAGTTACGTTCCCCATCTCCACTTTTGTGACAAAAGGTATTGTTGATTTCTATATATCCTGGATTCTCAAATGTCCTGCTAGTACCACTCTTCAGACTGGTGAGAGTTCTAATAGTCCAGTGTGAACCAACTTGAACACTTTGACTACTTTGACTGTGTCCTCCTATCGTACGCTTTACTATAAATAAGTACTTTCTACAAGTTGAGAGAGTTTTCCTTGTTTGGCATATATATCAGATGACATCAACAAGATGCCTCCACACGAGGGGCTAGTCCAGTGCTGAATAGGTACTGCCACTGTTGATCTAAGAAAATTGTCTTTGGCATTGATGGGAGTGCATCTCGTCAGGCGCCATCCTGTGTTTTCTAGTATCTCCTTGAGTTGAAGAATCGTGAACTCTTGGGCATTGAAATACCCCATCATCTGTGATTACAAATTAGAATGGATCACCCCGCTGCAAGACCCGATAAAATCAATACTTACACCCATATCCAGGTTGTAAACGGTGCCACTCAGACCACCGTAGTTGGGAAGCAGAGGCGCAGGGGCTAGTTTCGATTCCACTGCACCTTCGATGTCTACAGTATCCAGGGGAATTCTCAATGATCACAAGTAAGTGTATAAGGTTGTGCTGCCTCACGTAAATGATGGAGGATTCTAGTTGTATATCCGACAGACCAATTATGAAGAATGTGTTTAACCAAGCCTACCGCTATCCTCTTTATTTCTTACGACGTAGATGTCAGTCATCCTCGGGTGTCCTCTTCAAGCTGGTGGGAGTAGGTTGGTGTATGGCTCACACTTACACTGGATCCTCCTACAGTACCTTGGAAAATATAAATGATTACTTGAAAGAATTTACCTTCTTCAATACAAAAGATAATACCAACAAGCTGCCCACTCATGGGCTCACTTGCAAACTTGGATGGAGTTTAAACTACACCAGCATTACTTCAGTCAATGATCTTTGGTCTCATAGCTTTCCCCGAAACAGGCAACTTGAAGTAGATTGGGGAAGATGATCACATATCCAAACTAGAGGGTTTTGGACGGTCCGGATGGATTGGCGGGCGTGATTTAACAAACAGGAAGCCACTATGATAGACTCAAACCCAGTCGGCTTTAATCGGCCCGGCGTTGATGACAGTCGATCAACGCGAAAAGCGGGCTGATAAGCCGCGTCCGGCTCTTTGATTCATCAAACGACGCCGGTTCACTTAGGCAACTGGCTTGAGTCTAGTACTACGAAGTACGTCTCGTCTCTAACACCAATACTCGAAATTTTAAACAACTCTCAACACATGTGAGTTCACCACCTCACTTCCATGCTCGTTCGTATATAAAAAAAGGCAAAATCAAAAAGTCTCCAGGTCTGTCTGATCCTAACCACCCTACAACCTTACACAAAAAGACAAACCAACTCCTCACTCTCTTGTGCTACCTCTAGATTCCAGTCCCAACTTACACTCTTACCTCCTACCCCTAACAATTCCTTACATACCAATCAAATCAAATCACCTCAATCCCCTAACCTTCTCCCTCGCCCACTTCGCTGTCTCCTCTTTCGCATTGATCAACGGATCCAATGGCTCAAAAATCCACGAGGCGTTGTTGTTCTCGTTCGCGTTTGAGAAAGGCGGTGGATACATGGATAGAGCGGCTAGGGAGAGGTAGGTGTGGTATGGATCTGGTAAAAGGATAGAATGAGGCATGGAGTAGAGAAGGGGATAAAGATAGATGGCAAAAGTAAGACGAAACGAGCATCCAGACAATTGAACAAACAACCAAATGAACAAATTTGAAAAAGAAAAATGACAGAAAAAAAATGAAAGTGTCATCAAGGCCATCTCATCTAGCCATACGTATGATGTAGCGTACCACGAGCCAACAAGCAAGTCGTAATCGCGAGTCAAACACCGGGGGAATGGATAACTCGAAGATGAATAAATAAGCATAGATGAGATGACGCCAGCCACAATTCAGACCGGGTGCAGTTGATACCGATGAGGTAGAAATAAACCAAGGCGTTAAACGACCGTAGGCCGATCAAGCCAAATCAAGGGCAAAGACAGATAAATGAGAGATGACAGGTAGAAAAGGAAAGTGGAACACCCATCGAATGATACATAAAAAAAGGAAAGTGGAACACCCATCGAATGATACATAAAAAAACGAAGAAGGGAGACCTCGGAAGGAACAAAATTGATTCACAAATCAGGAACAAGACAGAAGTTTAGTTGCGTCATAGAAAACATCATAAGTTTCTCTGCTTCGGTCTCGACATAGGACATGACATCTACATGCAAAAACGCATGTAAATAAATAAGAGGCGAGGTATTTGAATAAGTCGACTTGAAGACCCCGAGGAGTAAATAGAGAAAAAATATGGAAATACAGATGGAATGGAAAAAACGCAGAAAAAAAGCAAAAGCAAAAAGGAAAGGATGATAAAGGAAGAAAGGCCTCCCTGGAAAGAAGACTTACCTGGATGTTCACCAGGTGCCTTCGCGATCCCTCCATACTTAAACTGACAATCCGCTAAGAAGGTTACGAGAGCTCGAGAGTCGACGAGGTGATCCGCGCCTAAAATCTGTACAGTCCGTGCGCGTGAGTATATCGAAGAAATGAGAGGTATGTTCCTTTTGTGTTAAAGGCGAAAAGATGATTCGGAAATAACGGAAAGAAAGACGGAAAGAAGAGCCACCGAACGAAGACGATGAAGAAGAAAAAAGACAAAGGTCGGCTTCCGAGTTTGACAAAGACCATTGACGAAGTCCTCGGGAAGGACGAACTAGAACAATCGACAAGAAGCCCTGTGTTTCAAAAACTCTACGATGTGATCCCGTTACCGATCCCGGTCCCATCCCATTCCAACTTCTTCTTTCCTTTCAGATACTAGGGGAGTTCATACGCATCTACTTGGGTTCCTGACTGTATATAACACGACACCGTGTACATACGTTCAATTTCGACAAACCGGTGCCCGAACCCAAAGACACGGAAACTCAATCCAGGACGCAAACACAATAATTTGTGCAGTGGATAAAAGAAACCAGTCAACAGGTTCCTAATCCAAATACCGCGTATCTAGACCCTATGGTCTGCGGTATTGATCCCCGATTTGATGCTGAAAATGACGCAGACGAACGTATCCACCTTCCCCTCTCCAAACAAGGATGACGAAGAAGGAAACACGGAAAATACACGCAGATACGATGGTATTGATAGAGAACCAGGGAACTGAGGGAAGGAATTGAATAAGAAAGAACTTGGAAAACCTGTATGGTTCAGATACTGATAGATTGCAGGCAAAATATCGGTGAGATTGAGCTGAGAGAGTATTTCCTTCCCGTATGTATATGTGTCCACAGATCACGACGCGACTATCGCCGCATAGGGAGCGATCGCGAGTTGTACCTATCGCGTGGTCGGGGAGGGTCGAAGAAATGAATGTTCCCTCGGAGTGTTTCATGAACAAAAAGGAAACGAAGAGAAACGAAGAGAAAGAAAGAGAAACCCGAGCAAACAACCGAAAAAACCGAAAAACCAAGAAATTAAGGGAAATAGACTGCTACGTGACCCTCACCTTGAGAGCGGCTCCACACCAAAAACAATAACACGCGTCGGCGGTCTTGTTCGTCCGACCACAAAAACCTCCAGACGGGTCTTGCATCCGAACTAGCCATGAGATTGTTTTGTCTTTTTCTTCTCGTGTTAGGCGATATTTTGGAGAAGAAGCGGGCGGGGAAGGAGGAGCAAGATAGATGGAGGCTAACGCGATATAGGTTGGTCCTCCTATGATGGAAGGGTCAACAGAGTTAAGATAGCGATAGTAAGGGAGAGATATAGGAGACGTGGCTGGAAGATACATACCCTGGGCTTCGAACCCTGTCGAAATACCATACCCTCCTTCATACGTCTGTCAAAATTGCATGTTGAAGTAAGCCAAACGCAAGGCAGACAATGAGTACCAGAGACCGATCGAAATAACCCACCCTACATCCTTTCACGTACTCAAGCGCTTTCGCGACATCCACCCCTTCCCAATTATCCAACAAACTACTGATAACGAACGCGCAATACAGCGTTCTCAAATCCGATTCCGTATCCACGTCTCCCGGTACAGTCTTGAAACTCCCGTCGGGTCTCTGACAGGATCGAAGGAGGTTGACGAGACCGCGTCTATCAAGTCGACTAAAATCATCTCGAAGGATGGCGAGCGCAATCAGGGCAGTGTAAGTCATTATGATATGTGGGGCGTCTGTGGAGTTGGGGTCGGAGCTTGATGAGGAGGTGGAAAGGTCATTTGAGCCAGAGGTTGACGTTGAAGGACCGCCCGTACTGAAAGCCATGAACGGGCTGGGACGAAATCCCGAACCATACGGACCAGCTAAGAACGTAAGGTCATTACGCCACGAGGACGAAGAGAGCGAAATGAGAAAAGCACCCGTGGACGTACATACATATTGTCCCCATATCCACTCTCTCCACATGTCTAAATCACCCTGAGCGATTTTATCAGGTATGAGACCTAACAGGTCAAGGCTTCCTATGCAGTAAAACACAATCGCGAGTCTCCAGAGTATATTTCAGTATCGATTTCGAAAAATTTGAGTATTTTTACATCGTTCTAGAGGAAGAGGTCCGAGAAAACACCAAGTGTACACACCTTGAGGAATCGAGATCAACTTGAGAATCTGGTAGACCAGAAAGACACCTCTTGACATGCCCCGCGTGTCCGATGCGCGCAAGACGAGGGAGAGCAAAGTTATTTTCATCGTTGTCTACGTTGTTGTCGAGATTGGGAGCCGTGCTAGTTGACATGTAGGTGAAAAAGGGATAGGTAGGGTGGTAGTAGGTCGGCTGCATTGGTCAGAAAGAGGTGCAGCAGACAAGTTAAGAACAGATTAGAGCAGAACAGGATACGGTTAACTAGGAAAGAGACCCACCTC